TTGATCTCGAGGAAATGATCCAACTGTTTGTTCTGCTGCAGCGATGTTCTTTCGGCTGACGATAGGCCGTCAAATGCACTTTCGCTGTACAAAAACACGTTATCAAAAGCACACAACCTTTGATAAAAAAAGCCGGCAGCTTTTGCTTCCCAATGTTGCTATTCACCTTTCGTACGACAACCATTGCTACCACCATCGCTGTGGAAACTGCCACACTAACAATACCAGTAACAGACATCATTTTCTTTGGTTTGAAGTTGTGAAAGTAGAAAAGTGGGTGTTCTATGGCTATATATCTTTCAACACTCGACATCATCAGACAAGAGGCTGCCAAAGAGGCAAAAAACCAGGAAGTTGCGATATAATCGGAGAATTGGCACGAATTCGCGCAGCCTCGTATAAGGCAAACCAACCATCGAATAAACAGTGGCTGGACAATTAACCCGACCAAGAGGTCCGCTAAAGCAAGGGCTGCAAGCGACAGATTGTATGTCGATGACCGCAAGCTGCCATTTTCAAGTATTGTCCAAATGATCAGAGCATTGATCAGAACTATAGGTGGAATTGTCAGGCCATTCACAGCAGCAACGGTTGTCCAAAGTGGTCCAACAGTGTCTGGAAGTCTTGAACTATTCTTGACATCAAAGTCGGGTAGCAAGAGACATTTTGTCTTCGTTGTGTTGTTCATTCTTCCAATAAACTCGGCCGGCAGGTCGGCAGGTGTGCAGCGAAGGCGTGCACACACCATGGGAAATCGTTCAGTGGTATATTAAGTAAAGCCCGAGTTAATAAACTAATATTAGTCTTTTCGTATGTTTATGCCTCTCGTTTATCGGCTAGTCGTTAGCTAACTTGTGCTTAAATAGTTTGATGATGGAGTCGATCTCTCTCACACAATKGCTTGTAAATGTAGTCATGCTACTGTCTAATCATTGGGGAAATCGTTTTGGTGAACGTTTTTGTTTAAAATCTTGCGTTTAAAGTATTGTTTAACTAGAAATTTCGTAAATAATTTACGGTCTTTTTAATTTTTAGACAGTAATCAGGGTCTGAATGGGGTTAACCGACTAGCGACAAATGGACAAAATAACTATTGACTAGCGACAAATTTGAACAAAATTTGCTGACTACCGACATTAACAAATTTACTGACTGGCGACATTTTCCAATATTCAATACAAAGATGTTAGCTCCGTGAATACAAGCTTTTTTTATTTTTCAAGCAACTACATTCGAAATTTTCCGCGGAAACGATAAATTTTGCTTCGGATTGGCTTCTTGAAGTTGTGATGAGCCACTCTAAAACTTTGAGGGCCGGGCATCCAATTGACCAATCAAGACTCAAGGATTCAATTGTTGGCATTTTATAAAGAATTCTATAGGTATAAAGCACCGTTTTAGATGCATTTAAACTTAATGTTTATCAACTTTTTTTAAATAACCGACTAGCGACAAATGCTTGAAATTTTAACTGACTACCGACATTGAGACCCCACCATTAAGACCCTAAGTAATGCTTTTTTAAATTTTGTAAATTGAAAATAATATAGAATTTGTTTTTATATTAAAATCAAGTTTCCGGCTTAGCTAATTTGGCAGTGTAAATGGGTTTAGCTCTCTGCCAACGCTTATACATGCTTTTAGGCATAAATCAACTGAGGCGTTTGATACGGGTATGACATGAATTTGAATAATAAC